AGTGGCCGGGCGTTTCGGTACCTGTCTTCCCTGCTCCGCTCTCTCCAGTGATCAGGATGCACTGGTCCTTGTCTTGATCTCGCAGGGACCGGTAGGCCTCGTCCGCCAGGGCGTAGCTGAAACACACAGCAGGAATCTGTTAAACCTCACCCACTCGTGCTACACTCCCTCCGGCAGGCCGGAGCCCAGAGGATTCCAGCCGAAGCTGGGCCACAGACAACCCTGCTACAAACCCCAGGACTGTCGCTATCAGATAGGGAAAAACCCGTTCGATACTTTCTTCTTTTCAAAATAAGCAGTGGGAGTTGAACCTGCAAGGCTCCCCTCACAATAGACGTGCCTCCCATGCATGGCCTGTGTAAAACATATCCGTAAATGACAAATAAGCAAACGAATTATGAGATGTCAGTGAGAAGATTATGTGCGACGTGACGTGCTCCATAATCCTCCTACAAGGGATAAAAAGGATCCTAAAATTTTCAGAAAAATCTTATTTAAAAAAGGTCAGTACATGGTACGTGCAAAAACAGAAAAGCCAATGAAGTCAAAGCTCAGTTCATGCGAGGACATGATTTCTATTATTACATCTCTAATCACCCCCTGTGCACGAGAGAGCCCTGCAGCGCCAAGCACTTTTTTTAATGAATCGGGACATTTTGTGCGAGTTCGAGGCTGCAGAAAACAGCTGCATACATCAGCCCCGACAACACATGACATCCTCACAGCCTGGAAGGGCTGGGAAGCCAATAGTCTTGGTTTATTAAAGCCTTTGACAAGTGTCGCTGCGCCTGTGTCACATGGCTCGTGCTACCGAGTCTTCCCTGCCGGGGGCAGGACGTACCAGGCCACAGCCTCCGCTGGGCTGAGCAGGGTAGGGTGTGAACTGGGCACCCACTTCGGGCAAGGCTCAGCACCTCACTGGGATACGCCCTTCCTAAAAACAGCCCTCTGTGCACTGCCATCCCTGCTCTTGTTACAGCTCGGAAATCACACCACGGCCATTCAGCTCAGCTCTGCACTTTTCCAGCCCACGAGCACCAAATTAGTGAGAGCTCTGGGCAGAGCTGCAGTACTTCTTCATGCATTTACTTAGGAATTTTCCAGCGCCACAACTAATAATAGATAGGAGTGTGCAGCAGGCATTTTTCTTCTCCACAAGAAATAATGTTAATGCCCTGCTCCCAACGGCGGAGAAACGAGAATGAACAGCAGGTTTATGTAACTCCTAACGACTTTCCTAGCTTCATCAACTGAAGTGGATTTTTTTTTTTTCCAGGACAAGGCATTTGAGCTGTGAAATCGGCGGTCGTTTAATTTCAGTTCTCAGCGTCAAAACGGTTCAGGGTCCTGTTCATATTTGAAGTCTGGTTCCATGCATCTATCCCTTAAGGAAAATCTTATTTTCTGGCAAGCAATAAATTAATGAATATTTTTCTCTATAACTAACGCGTAAACCATTCAATGTTTTTGTAAACCATAAATTACACTAGGTTCATATCACTTATGTTGGATTATATGATCAGCATCAGAAGAAAATTATCACTGTGCAGGTATGTTACTAGGAAAAAAAACACATGGATTTTGGATATGAAGGAACCTATTTTTATTCATTGATTGCGGACTGTGATACGAGTTGAGTAATGTTGTTGCATAAGCACTAAAAGCCTACTTTGTAAGAGGACTAGCTGGACACAGGCAATTTTAACTTGTTGAATGCCAAAGAAATCAAGAAAGACAAATACGGAGGAAGAAATATGCCCCACCTCCCAGGAGAACAACATCTTTGTGACATCAGTATGTTTGAGGCTGGACTAAGTCAGCCCTGGTATTCACCATCTGGGTTGCTCAAAGCCAAGAATTTCTATCCTGGTAAGATTATAGCCAAACAATGCATGAATGACATGGCATGATGTCAGTGAGCATAAGCCATGACCCCTTGACAAGACTGGCAAATCGTGCGCCGTCTTCGTGACCATTTTCACAACCTGGTGCAGCATCAGAAACACCAGGCTGCGACAGCCTCAAGCGTTCAGCCTCTCCATCGCAAGGAGCCAACTAAAAAGTCAGCTTTCTGCAGGTCAGACAGCCCCCCAGGGG